GGCCAGTAACGACCCGAGGGTTAGGAGACCGCTGTCTCCCAGCTATTCCGCACCGCCGTCGCTCCTGTCTCCGCTACCGAAATCTCCGAGTGACTTCTCTACGAGGGCAACGCAGACCCTGCCTGTTCCTAGAGTTCATCAAGGAACGCTGAGCCGACCTATCGTAGTTCACCGAGAAACGCAGAGCGACTTAACATCACAGAAACAAACATCTACACCACCAGGATCACCAGCTAGTTACACACCACCAGGATCACCAACTAGCTACACACCACCAGACTCACCTCCTGGATCCTACTCTCTCGACCTTTCACGCAGAAGACTCTGGGGACCTAAGAGATTCACCCAGACAAAACCGACAATCTCTTATAGAGAAAGAATTATATAGTTTTTGTTATAAACGGCCCTTTTCAGGGCCACATAAATTGTAAACATAAAAACGGTCCCTTTCAGGACCAATTAATTTATAGAAAGTTAAATAAATTGTATCAAACGAACACGCTATCAAAAACCCTTCACAGTGATACGAATCCCAGGCCGCTTGCAGCACGCGATCAGCGCCACCGGTCGGCGGCCTGGCGCAATCGGTAACAACACAAGCATGAGCCAGTGTCCATGTGACTTGGTTAGTTAGAAGCGTGCCGACTATATTGCTCTGTCCTTTTTGCATTACGTTCTTATTGCTTGCCTTATCGGCGCGCTGAGAGCGAGAGAGAACCTTGCTGTTTCACTCAAGCAAGCGTCGAGCAACCGAAATGTGCTTTCTCGGCCTCTCGGCGTCAGCCGCGTCAGGGAGGCGTGTATCAATAGAGCACTAGAAACGTAGGTATTTGCGTCCACCATTTTTACTCCTTTTCTTACTGTTTGTTCTCTCTTCAACCTTCTCTCTTCTCTCTTCAAGCTTCTTAGTTTAACGGCGGAATGGAGAGAGAGCAAAGAATTGAGAAAAGGAGCAAGAGAGTGAGAAAAGGAGTAAAAATGGCGGATGCGAATACTCACGTTTATAGTGCCTTAGTATCAAGAGCCATGAGGACGTTCTAGATAACATATAAGTTTTAATAAATCATAATAATCATATACCTCTTCTTATTAATCCAGAATATTATAATATAAATCATGTCAAAACGCGGTAGTTGACGAGAGATTGATTGTTTATGATTTTCCGTTCGTACTATATAGTGCGGACCTAAATTTGATCCGCAAGAAATTGACGTGGTCGAGCGCGTAAGGTGTGAGATCGGAAATAAGCAGGGAATGGAAAGTTACTTTTTAAAAGTAACAAGTTACAGTTACTCGTTACACAGTAGGAAAAGTAACAAGTTACCGTTACTAGTTA